TGGCAGTTTCGGTGGGTTTTTGCACCAGCAGGTACACAAGTACCCAAGAACTCGCGGATGTGCAGAAATTGTGGCGTTCCTTGCAATCAGAGAAAAGTATGTATCCTTGCAGTTGCTCGAGGGATATTGGTCTGAAGAAGTTGCAACGGAGGTGTGGCTTCCTTTCAGGACGTCCAGTAAACGCACGTCTGATGGCAGTTGCGAGCTTCCTGAACTGGCAGGACATATGTGCTGGCCACAATATAAGGGGTCTTTGCCCGGTCTTTCCCTTTCATTCTTTCTCAGGCCTCCATGTTCGTCATCAGCTTCATCTACAAATCTAAGAATCAATAATCACCATAATTTTCATCTTTACCAGGTTGTTCTCACCAGACTATCTTCACTGTTCTCACCAGATTATCTTCACTATTCTCACCAGATTATCTTCACTGTTCTCACCAGATTATCTTCACTGTTTACAGATTATCTTCATGTTCTCACCAGATTATCTTCACGGGTTCTCTCAGACTATCTTCACTGTTCTCACCAGGATTCTTCTTCACTTGTTCTCACCAGACTATCTTCACTGTTCTCACCAGATTATCTTCACTGTTCTCACCAGACTATCTTCACTGTTCTCACCAGACTATCTTCACTGTTCTCACCAGACTATCTTCACTGTTCTCACCAGACTATCTTCACTGTTCTCACCAGACTATCTTCACTGTTCTTATCAGACTATCTTCACTGTTCTCCACCAGTCTATCTTCTACTGTTTCACCAGACTATCTTCACTGTTCTTACCAGACTATCTTCACTGTTCTTACCCAGACTATCTTCACTGTTTTTACCAGACTGTTGACACGTAGTTCTTCCTTCTGTCACAGCGTCCACCATTCATTACACTGACGATGGTGGCCAGGATATCACGGAGGCCAAGGGATTCTGCATGGAGATGCTCCAGGAGATGGCTAAGAGGTTCAACTTCCGTAAGTTCTGTCCAGAGGTTCACCAGGCGTCAGAACCTCAAAGGTACTGCTCTCATCGTTCTTACACGTTCTCTTTAATGCAAGAATACCAGCGCCATATCGGTTGGGTTTTAGGTTTGGTTTTGTTAAGTTTGTTTTGGGTAAGGTAGGTTAGGTTATGGGGTGGTAAGGTTAGGTTAAGTTAGGTTTGTTTTGGGTAAGTTAGGTTAGGTTAAGTTAGGTTAGGTTAGGTTAGGTAAGGTTACGTTAATCTTATTGATAACGTAGCGAGAAACGTTAATAATGACGCCCACTGATGCAGTGGTTACCTTTATCAGTGAAAACGTTTCGCCCACACAGTGGGCTTTAAAAATATAAGAATTTTTAGAAAGTAAGAAATTAAAACATTTCGATTTCAAAACAATAAAAAAAGAATTTAAGAACTTCAGGATAAGAATAAAAATAATGATTAAAAATAAGGATTAGAAAATAAAGTTTAAAACTGGGTGATAATAAAAATGAAAATATAAAAAAATGATAAGCCTTTGTGATATTATTATTATTTTATATTATTATTATTATTTTATTTTATTATTATTATTATTATTATTAAAGCCAGTATATTCCAATACTTAAGGTATTACAACAGAAGTACTCATAATGGTAACTTTCTGCCTCCTACATGTACTTCAGGTACCTAACTGATTCCTTCAGGTACTCTCCATCCCTCTACAGGACTCCTCATTTCTCCTTCAGGTACAAGATGGTAGTGTCTTACGACGGAAAATGGGGAGTAGCAATGCCAAACGGAACATTACGATGGCTTGGTGGGCGATGGGAAGGGCTTACCGCAAGGTGAGGCATGGTACGACGCGAGGTGAGGCATGGTACGGCGCAAGGTGAGGCATGGTACGGCGCAAGGTGAGGCATGGTACAATGCAAGGTGAGGACTGGTACAATGCAAGGTGAGGCATTACAATGCAAGGTGAGGCATGGTACAACGCAAGGTGAGGCATGGTACAATGCAAGGTGAGGCATGGTACAATGCAAGGTGAGGCATGGTACAATGCAAGGTGAGGGATGGTAAAAATGCAAGGTGAGGCATTACAATGAAGGTGAGGCATGTACAACGCAAGGTGAGGCATGGTACATGCAGGTGAGGACTGGCACAACGCAAGTGAGGCATGTACAAGCAAGGTGAGGCATGGTACAACGCAAGGTGAGCATGGTACAACGCAAGGTGAGGATGTACAAGCAAGGGAGGCATGGTACAACGCAAGCTGAGGCATAGTAAAACGAAGGTGAGGCATGGTCAACGCAAGGTGAGGCATGGTACAAGCAAGGTGAGGCATGGTACAATGAAGGTGAGGCTATGGTACAACGACAAAGGGGAGGTATGGTACACGACAGGCGAGATATGGTACAATGCAGGTGAGCATGATTACAATGAAAGGTACGTATGGTACAATTACAGTTAGGATTAAATGCATGCGAGGTATTGTTCAATGACAGGGACGCCTTGCATTAGACCTGGTCACTATCTGGAAGTATAGGGTTAATTGCTGCTTCTAGCATTTACGTCGCAGGTTTGTCTGGCGAATACTAAGAGGCGTTTTTCACTTGCCTGTCACGCGGAGGACCGGGTTCGGACTGGCAGGCTGGGACAATGTATTAGGGTGACACATTTGGGCTGACTGCAAAGCTCTCTGCTTTAACTTCGGACCGTCCGGGTTCGATTCCCGGCGGGTAGAAACATTCGAGCGTTTCCTTGCACTGTTGCCTGTTAAGAGAGCAAATAGGTACCTGTTATGTTAGCCGATGGTGTAGGTCGCACCTGGGACTTAATTGAGTGTCTACAAATGGGGAATAAAACAAGTTCTCTGACCATAAACTCTTCAGGTGTTGTCATGGGGGCTAACCCTCGGGTTAAGATCCTAAGAATCATCTTGTCCGGTCCATTTGTTCATATTAGGGCCAAGGGTTCCTGTGTTATATACTTGAATTATTCAAGGCCCTCGCCCTTTTACACCAGATTGCGTTAATTCACGACGTATTCTAGGTTTGTGCTGTTTTTCCCCATTATTCCTCTACTTCAGTCTCCCGTCGGCTTGTGCAAAGCCCTGGTTACTAGTTAAGATTCATTTGATTGGTCACATATCTTTGGATCTTATTCCTTTCTATGAGACTTGTTTGACTTCTAATTTAAATTAGATATCTATGTAATAGCTTACTCCGCATCTCATCCATTACTACTATTACTATCTTTACTCTGTTTTGCTATTATTTTCCGTTCCGTTTCTGTGTTTCATTTTGTGACTTCTGTGTCTCTGTGCTTTTTACAGGCTTCGACCAGCTCAGAGAGTGTAATATTGAGTTCATAAACGTCTTCCATTTTTGCTTTTGCCCATTTGTCTTAAGCTTTCTCTGTCTTATTTTTACATGACTTGGATTTAACAAAACGTTTCTAAATAAAGGCACAAGTGTTGCCATTTTGTCTCATAACAGAAGACTCTAGAAGGTGGTCTCCTTGGTCCCCTCTGTTTGTCGATTTTTGTGGCCTGGTCTCACTTTCTGCTTGTTTAGATGGTGGACTTTATGGCCCGTCAATGTTTTTCACCTTCACCCAGGCCAGGGTAGACTTGTGATTAGACCCCTTTCATCACGAGTTTTACGATGGGCTTCATTAAACCCTTCCTGCATTCTTAAAGGGAAAACGACAACTTCCCGCCGTTACCGGAGCTTCTCTGGCAAGGTAAATTCTTACTGGGCTGACGGAAGGTCGTTTAACACACCTTTCATTGGTAGTACGTGTGGTTTGGTTTCATTTAAATTATGTATCTTGAAGGTGCTTTCCTCTTGTATTTCTGCATTATTCTTATTTTTTTTCTGAAACTATTTCCTTTCCCTTTTATTTGAGTTTATTTTGTGTTTTTGTTTGATGGCCCTGTCTTCTTTTTCCTCTGGTCGTAATGCTAGGAACAATTTAGTTATAACTGCTTATCCTTTTTATTGCCTCCTTTTTGTTTAACTTTTCCGTGTTTCAGTTTACACGCAGCCTGATTATTTAACTAATATAAATTTTATGGAAAAAGGGGCACACAATCAACTGAAGTAAAAACCTAAAAAATCTTGTAAATTGTAATGGAAAAAAATCCATTTCGGTCTGTCCGGCAGGTGTGGTTTAAGGCAAAACCCAAATCACAATTTTTTTTTTGTTTAGTGGTTTTTTTGAAACAATTTAAAAAATGTTGCAAACTGTCTAATTATGTTTATGTGGAATAAAAGCAGAGTTAAAATTACTAAAAAATAATATCGTGAGTAGTTTAAAATTTCAATTGGGCAAATTTATCAGCGTAATGTTTGGGTTCGAGTTAGACCCGCTGCATGTGTAAATGGTTTTGAAAACAGACAGGTTAAAGATTGAGACACTTATGCAACATATGTGAATCTTTATTGAAGCAACGTTTCTCCCCACAGTGGCTTCATCAGTCCATACACAGCAGACAGGCGTAAGATTCCCATATATTGCATAAGTGTCTCAATCTTCAACTTGTTGGTTTTCAAAACCATTCATCACATCTGTCAGACACTGTAACATCATGGGATCTTGATACAAGGAATTCTTCAACACTTGTCCAACCTTTGGACGAAGACCTACTTACACTAGTGGATGGTTCCTCTGTGATCCCGCCTCCTGCTAAGACTCTCCTGAGTACAGTATATAAGTCACTTCTCCGACCATATGCTGTACTTTCTACAAGATTGATGGACTGAACACATCGGTTCCTGGCTGAGGGATTGATTACCTCAAACTCCTCCTCTCCTTACACCCTTCTACTTTGTATTGGACTGATGAAGCTACTATGTGGCGAAATGATTCTTCAATAAAGTTTCCCATATGTTGCATAAGTGTCTCAATCTGCTAGCATGAGCCAGTAGTTCTTCAGTGCTCCTCTGTTCTCCCCAGAGACTGTTATAACCCTCAAGGGTTTAACATTTTCCAATGAATTATAAAGTTAATCTTTTATTTGTTTCTGTCCTTACGGTGGAAAGGTGTGGATTGGGATCGTGGGTAGTATCCTGCTGGTGGGTCCGTGCCTGTGGATGCTGGCTAACGTAGGAAAGCTGCCTGTGCTGTACCCGCACTCCATGAACGGGCCTCCGTACCCGATCCATAAATACGTGTGGGAGTGTGCCACCAGCCTCGTAATGCAGAGTGAGTCCCATAGCTGTAGCTTCACCCCTTCCTAGGTGGTGGGATAATGAAAATCCTGCATGTTTTGTCAGTTTTGTTACCTCTTCTGGAGGGTAGGTTGAGTCTGTTGATGAATAAGATATGTCCAACACTTGGATATCTCTATGCCGAAAGGTGTCGTCTAATCAGTAGGTTTCTTCAGTCGAATACAAATGTGACATGTCTTATTCATCAGCTAGTCGGGTAATACGCACCAATTAAGTTAAGGTTGATTCGTTGCCTCAGGTCGGTTACAAACATTCCCATACCCAGCGACATTTCAGTAACTTGTTTACGATCTATTTCTCTCATTACTCCTCATGATAAGCGTCATTAATGATAATGGAAGTGTGAAATCTTCTGCCAAGTAGTATTACTGAATCCAATTCTTTGGCAAGCCTCCAGGGTCGTCTGGATGGAATGACTGGTACTCAACATGGACTCACGAGGGGCAGTTCCTGCCTAACTAATTTACTAACTTTCTTCAGTAAAGCTTTTGAAGCTGTTGATGATAGAGAATTTGATACTGTTTATTTGGATTTTAGTAAGGCTTTTGGGTGGAGAGTTTAACCTTTTGATTCTGGGCCAATAGGCTTTCTTTAGTACCTCCTCTTCCAGGATGTTCGTGTGAGTTGCTTCTAGTCCTCATCTAAACCTATAACCAAGAGATGAAACCGCCTTTGCACTACTAAAAAAAAGCATTTTCAGATCCCATATCTTAATTATTAGCTTTAAAGGTAGATTAGATGAAAACGAATGAGAATAAAGAACAGAGAGGCACAATACCGTGACTTGATCAATATACAAATTAACTCGCACATGGGAGAGAGGAGCTTAAGTAGACGTCATAAGCTTCTCTCTCCTGTGTGTATTTGTGTATGAGTGAGAATGGTTGTATGAGTCCTGATAATAAAGAGATATACACAAATGTATTATAATTTGTTCCTTTATTCACTACGTTTCTCCCATACAGTGAGCTTTATAAAGTCCCCCATGTGCGCTAAATTTATCAGTCTTCAGAAGATTGATATACTGATTACGTCGACTCCAGGTTGAGGGACTGATTACCTCAAACTAGTTCTGATCTTCACCCATTCTTTGTATTGGACTTGATGAAGCCACTGTGTGACGAAACATTTCCGCAATACAGATACCCAAGTGTTGTACAGGTGTTTAATTTATCATCTTGTCAGTTTTATGAACCATTTATTGTGTCGTGCAGACGGCCGCATGCGGCAGACAGAGCGGTGCGGCTGCTGTATGGAGTATGGTGCATCTTCTCGGTCGTCGTCATCTACGCCTACACCAGCACGCTGATCGCCTTCCTAACAGTACTCGTAAGATCAACCTTATCAACTCTCTGGAAGAACTGGCTAACCAGGACAAGGTACTCTGGAGTTACCGGATCAGTACACCACACGACGCCCTCTTCTCGGTGCGTGTACTGACTGTTTGTACTTGCTAATAGATTATGTTCCAGCAAAGCTAAAAGCCTGACTGATTACCCCAGACTACCTTTCCGCTTTGCCTGCCGTTCTCCTTGCATTCAACTGATGAAGTCCGCAGCACAGGCCAATAATTTCGTCAATAAAGATACCAAGTGTTGCACACGCGTCTTACCCATCAACTAACAATGTACAATCAGGACAATCAGTATCCTGGTACCTATTTACAGCTAGGTGAACAGGGCAGCACTTGTAAGAAAGCTTCCTAAAACGTCTCGATTGGCACAAATTAATCACTTGGCTACAAATCACCCGATTCTGAAAGCGTCTCGCTCAGAATTCCCCCCCCCCCAAAAAAAAATAAAAAAATTCTCGCATAGTATATATTTTTTTTAAATTTTTGACTGCTTTGTAAAACGAAGTTTTCAACTGCCTCGTTGTAGATTTCTCAATTAAACTACAAAAACTTCACATGATTTCCTTGCGTTGGTTTTTGTAAAGTCTGCCTAAGCAGAGGCTGAGCCGCGATTAGCAAACCTGGGGATTAAAAATGAAGATTTTATCCGGATTATCAACACAAAGGATTAACATTTACGATTGGATTATTAATCCCCTTCCCCAGGATGTTTTGGATATGTTGCAATTCACTTCTTTATACGTAATAATGTTGGAAACTACGATAAACGATGCTTCCTTGCACTAGCTGTCTGATCAGCTCAAGTTATGTGAACGAGCTGAGGTCCATGACTCAGGAAATCGCGATGACACGAATGTAAACAAACCAGGGAACGGGTGGGGGTTGAACCTATGGCGACTGAGTTATGGAACTCACAGACCATTGCGTTAACCACTGAGTTACGTACTGTTTCTTGTACTCCTGACATCACTGTTAACAAGGTCCCCAGGACCCACACAATTTTCCCATAAATGTATTAAGTGGCTGTATAAGTGTCATTTCCACAACTTGATACCATATACCTGGTTCTAACCACTTTCACTTACAATTGGATCCTTCGGATTAGAACCATAAACCACGTGGCTGCTCTTTGAGCTGAATAACCTCACACGGGTTTAGCACCTTATAAATTTAACCAACGCGACAATGTAGTGTTCTGTTTTTTAAGTGAAGTTAAATAACTTTCATTATTATTATTATTATTATTATTATTATTATTATTATTATTATTATTATTATTATTATTATTAAAGCTAAGGGCTAAACCTGTTCGTTGACTTACAGAGTGCCGAGCCTCCAAGTACTTACTACAAGATTGGTCGTTTGTTGAAGAAACGACCTGACCTTTTGGTGCAGACTGACCGCCAGGGACTCGAAGCCGTGCTGACAAAACACATTGCCTTTATTAAGGTATGCACCTTATACCTGCTTGTCCTTATACCTCATATCTGTTGGTCCTTATATCCATTCGTCCTGCCCTTCCATAGCCTTGATATGTGGAACGTTTACCTTGATAAAGACACATGTGCAGCAGTTAGGTATCTTTGTTCCTATTTTTTTAAAACATGTGTCTTACTTATCAACTTGTCGGTATTGTACATCATTATCATCTTCGCAACTTTTATTTGGGTCATCCTCGTGGTTTATTCCTCAGGTTCGACTCTCCCACACAGTATTACCACTATCACTACTTCTGTTTCTACCTCTCTTTGTCCCGTCCCTGTCTCCTTCACTATATTACACTGGCTTCCTTACTCTTTTGTGTCTGTGTGACTTTGTAAATGGTCCAAGTGGAACCGAAACGTCGTCGTAAGCTCCTCTGTCCTATGTGCGGGTTATTTGTGTCTCTCTGCTTCTCACTGTCCCTTACTGATTCTCCTCATCTACTGTCCTGGGTCTTTCTGTATCCTCTCTCCACGTATCTGATTCCTTTCCTACTCTTATTCTATCATCTAGACAAACTGTGATGAATGAACACCTTAGTAAACAAAAGATCTGACTAACAATGTATTTGCTTATCCCTGCAACGTACACTAATAAATCCCCAAAAAAGTAAAGTTACCGTCTCAAAAAACTTTTCCCTGACAAGGAAAAATCTTGGCTTGACTTCGCTATGGAGGAGGATTACCAGGCCACCAAGCAGTGTCGTCTGGCACAAGTCAATCAGTACTTCTTCAGCAGCGGCTTCGGCTGGATACTTCAGCAAAATCAACATACCTCCAGCTCTTCAATGCCGAGTGAGTAGCCGGTCAGTGAAAAGTGAATGACAAGCATGTATAGCGGAAGATCCGACTGCAGTGAACTCTTTGTCGATGATACAAGGAAGTTCACTCGCAGACAGAAACGGTGCAAAAAGAGACTGTATACAGTGTCTGTCTACACTGCAATTCTCTCTCTCTCTCTCTCTCTCTCCGTGCGTGTGTGTGTGGGGTGTGTGTGATTATATATATATATATATATTATATATATTATATATATATATATATATATATATATATATATATATATATAATATTATATATTATATTTATATATATATATATTATATGTATATATATGTAAATATATTTATATATAAAATATATATTTTATAATATATATATATATATATATATATATATATATATATATATATAAATATATTATATATATATATATATATATATAGGATAGCACATGTAATGATCTTGCTTAAAAAGAGTTATGCCGAGTAACAGAATTAGTCACTTGTCTATTCCTATCCTGCCAGTATTTGACTGGGGTCCTGTCAGTTGCTAAGTCAGTTTGTTACTTGTGCTCTACCGGCTGGGTTATCCTTGCTTAATAACCCTAAGTATATCCTCTTCGTCTTTGTTTGCCATCTCAACACGTTAAATTTTTCATTGGTTTTATTGCTTTATTATGCATCCCAGATCCATGCTGGCGGCGCTAGTCAAAGATAACAGAGGCACATTATGGATCCAGGAACATGGGCCCGGTATTTCGAAAGCTTCATAAGTTATAATGTTAATGAACTATTTCATCAGGATTCTCAAAATGGCACAGTCCGGACTGTTCAACAAGTGGAGGCAGCAATACTGGCCCAGAGCCAACAAGTGTACAGCAGGGAGGGTGTCTGGTCCCTGGGCTCCCAAGCCTCTTCAGCTGAAGAACTTCGTTGGTCACTTCTTTATCCTGGGTGTGGGTGCCTGCCTGGCTCTCCTGATCCACCTCGCTGACACTGTAGTCTGGGGAAGGTTCTGGATCATCTCTGACCACCACCCTGACCACCACCCTGACCACCGCCCTGACCACCACGCTGACCACCACTCAGACCACCACGCTGACCACCACGCTGGCCACCGCACTGACACCGCTTCCTGAACCAAGGGTCATTACCGCAGTTGTTTTACTCACTACTAAATTTATTGTATGATATGGCTTCCTGTTTTATGGAATTATATTGTTATATTAATGGGAAGCACCAAAATGGCTTGGGACGGCCAAAGGATCCGATCTAAAAGAAGGGGATAAAAACCCTCACTGGCATGAAATAAAAACCTCGAGGGGCCTGTTTTTCTCTGATTTTATTCCTCCAACTTACACATTACATTTAGTATTTTTCTTAATATAACTTCCAGAAAGTTCACTCTGGCTATATATTTTCATAGCTAACATTTCATTATTTGAACGACTTAATTCTCACGAAATCATTATAAACTTTTACGAGTATTTTTAGTCTGAGAGTCAACTATTAAATTTGTGCGTGACACGACTGGTGCACTTTTTAGTTCGTAGACAATAACTTATTTAAGATATATATGAGTCCAATATAAGTTGAAGGTTATTGTTGATAAGGGCTATAAATACCGAGAAGTTGATGATTTAAGACCACCTGTTGATAATTGCTGTGGACTGCTAAGTGAGTCGCCTACCTTGGCAACTCTGTTGCACGAGCTCTGAGGGGGTTTACCTCTCTCAGTCTCACAAGTGGGCTTATAGGACAGATTTTCACAAATGTTTGACTGTCTGTGTGCAAGAAAACTCGCTATGCACTATAAGGACTAACATACTTGGGGTTGCCAGCATATATCCTGATCTTTCAACTTCCCTAAGCTTAGCCTTAGCCCCTTTGGACTTCCCCGCAGAAACCATGTGCAACCACGGAGCCTTTACTTCCTGCAATTATTCAATCGTGTAGTAGTTGTCCTCCTGCACCTAAGAAATTCCTATATCCAAAGAGGGTATGGATCCTCTAGTATAACTATGCAGGACACGGACCTGCTTCCAGGAATGCCCCTGAGACACTGGGGTACTTACTGGGCATGACTGCCGTTGCACACCGGGGCCCGCAGATTCTCCAACCACTCACAATTCTCCCAGACACTGGCCAGAAAATCTAACGAGATAAAAGTGGGAGCGTCTTGTCTTACTGTATGGGCCTGACGGAGGTCATTCTACGGTACATCGAGGTGCCTCTACCAGATTTCCCTGGTCTCAAATGTTGAAGACCACGTGGGGGGCGCCGTCCTCTGCTGATCATGGCACATCTTGTCCAGTTGGTGTCTGTCTTAGGAGAACGAGCTGGTCTCTCTTCCAGACCCTCGTTCTCTTCGTTTCAAACTAGGATGCCAGTTCTTCCTAGTAACTCTCTCTAAGTGTTTGTCTAGTTAACGGGCCTAGTAATAACCTATGTAAGGACTTAGGTCTACATTATTACTTATCTTACAAGTTGCCTTAGTAACCTAAATTTTTATACTAACAGTTAAAACTACCTTACTCCTTTCCTGAAGGGTAAATCTATAAATTAATAAGCTTACCACAATCACTCACTAGTGAATGCTTTTTTTTTTGCGAGTGGTGGGGTATAGGGACCCAGGCTCTCCATTCCCATTAACGGCCATCCGGATCAGTCTGTGGAACTTTGAAAACACCGGTCCAATAAGGTTTCCACATCCTCCGCCGGCGAAGGTAGGCGCTATAGTTAGATCAAAGTCCTGCTCCCGCAGGCGCCTCCCAGTGGGCCCTGAAGACTTGAACGCCGTTCGACGGGTCATCCGGACCGCCTCCAAGCTCGTCAGCCTCTGGTCTAACTTTATCATTATGTACCAGTCCCACCGTGTGGACCTCAAGAGGTAAAAGCCTGTTGGATGGGTGCTTATATCTCGACACATCATTCTCACCTTCACCATTCTCAAACTCACCCAGCTTGTTGGGTGGGTCGACACTACCAGGCATAGAGGCCAGTATGCCTGGGTGCCTCGAGTCTACTCGCTCCAGGTCCCCTTCCATTGAGCATCATCTTATTTGCTCGGGGTCGGCACATAGAATTGTTCCCGAAAGGTTGTCATGTATATCCCTTGACGCCACTCAACCTGGTTCCATTTGTCCAGGTGTTCACAGTCTGTTGTGACTCCTGTGCAGTGTCTTCATTGATGGGGGCGGGGACCATCTGGCCCCTAATAATCCAGTTCCTTGGAAGACTGACCAAAATTGCGGGGGAAGGGCTCAATCCTCCTTCCAAACAGCATGTGATTGGGGGTGAGAGCTTCCTGCCGTCAATCCCATTTTGTACTTAGGTCAGAGGCCTGTTATGGACTCTTGCTCTATATCAAACTAACATGTCTTCAGTTCATCAAAGCTCACTCTCCTGCATGCACGACCTCTGAATGCACCTTTTGACTGTGCCCACCATGCGTTTCATTGAATCCCCCTATGCCAAGGCGCCCCTGGGAGCTATGAAGGTTCTCCCACTCGCCTCTATTCTATTCAGGTGTTCTGTACTTCTCCTTGTTCCCTAAGAATTCTGATAACTTCATCGGCCGCCCTAAAGCTTGTGCTCATTGTCTGAGATAATCACTTGCGGGCACGAGAATTGGCCTGTAACCTCCTGAAACACTTCACGAAAGTCTTGTTGACATCTCTTCTGCCAACTCCAAATGCCACAGCTCGAGTCCAGCTGGCACAAGTTAAAACAGGGCAGACATATACTTTCTGAGGGCCCAACCCTATCCGTCTCTGGGTTCTTCAATGTGATAGCCCCAGTATAGTCTATTCCCCACAGTCTTCAAAGGGCCTGTCCAATATGTTACCCGCTCCGAGGCAGCAGTGGTGGACCTGGGTTTATGGTAGGGTCCTCCAATCGTACCGCCGGCAGACCGTGTCAACTCTTTAGCCCCTTTTGACAGCATGCTCAACCCTCAGTACCCAGTAATTCTGATGTAGGCAGGTGATGGGTATCTCCATACCCCATGTAAGGACCTCGGATGGGCTTCTTGTATCCAATAGGACTCTGACATACCCATCCCTCCTTTCCCAGCAGCATGGGATGTTTGGCCCCATAGCTGAGCTCAGAGTTTTGTTATTCGTACCCTTCTGCATCTTATTAGCCCCGCATGATCTCGGAACAAATCCAAAGAGGTGAAAACCAATTTACTGACCCTGAGTCGTCGGTGGACCACACGTCCCGACGCCATAACCTGCTGCCTGGTCGCCAGTCTTCCAGCACTCCCTGGAAACCTCTCCCTTGGTAACTGCCTTATCCCATATTCTCTCTGGGACCAGAGAGATAACTGTCCGACCTTGGCTTACTTGTCATGCAGCTTCCTCTACAAATCGAAATTTACCATTTCCGTGACTCCTATAAGTTTCCTCCAAGAGGAGTAGTGCCTCTGGTTCAATAGTTCAGTGTCGGGTTCCCCCGCAAAGTGTACTATCGCTGAGGTTGTCTCCCGAATTTTGCTCCGGCCAGCAATCCTTGCCAGTACCAGGTCTGGGCCTTTGAACCAAATCTCGCTTTTACTCAGCTTTTGTGTGTCACCCTCGGCTTATCAGGTCGGCTGGGTTTTGATCTGTAGGCACATACAGAATTGTTGATGTTGACCTGAAGTTCCCGTATCTCCTTTACCCGATTCCTGACATCGGGGAGCTTAGACCTGTCGTCTGGACCCACTGGAAAGGCCACCTCGAGTCTTGTACCATACATAGGTGTGTGTCAACTCCTGAGATTACTCAACTCCTCCTCTACGTACTTACCGTCTTGCTCCTCAGCAACCATCGCGGTGAGATACTAGCTTTGGGATCGAGCATCGTTCAGGGGATGGTCCCGTGACACGACTGGGGCAGACTGACCTGGTCCCCGGCCACCAAAATACGCTACTGTCCCCATAGCCCTGGAGGAGGCATCACAGAAGACATGCAAGTCATAGTCCGCCCGGTGCACCGATGGACCTGGGGGGGGAAACATTGTGAACTCATGCAATTCTGCTAGATCCTTTTGCTAACTCAGATTCCCCTCCTGGGCAGACTGTTTTGGCTGCAGTGGGTCGTCCAAACCTAGGTTCAGCTCCCAGGTCTGTTGCATAGAATCCTCCCTCGAATGGTGATGGGTGTCAACAACCAAAGGATCGAAAGGCAGTCTGCACTCTTGCTCAGCAAAGACCTCCTGGTCAGCTTCCTTCCCCATTTCAGGTTTCCTACTTTAGTTTTTTTAGTTTAACCTACAGTCTGTCTTCCTTGTTTCCCACTCCATCCCAACACGATGGTACCTCAGGTATGGAGTAGCCAGCATAGTTCTCGTTGCACCATGCCCCGCAAGGTTTGGATTGTTTGTCACCCATTCTCTTAGTGGCATGTTAGTCGAGTGCATCTCCTGATTAGATACCGGTAAATTGTCCATACTGCATTCATCTGAGGTGGTTACCTGATGGTGTCTACATATAAAAAGTAGGGTCTTCAGCATTCTTTAAAGGCGGGCTGTTACAGTTCACAAGGTTGGTTGTCTATCGGTATAGCACTGGAATAAGAAATGGTGATCTAGTGGCACCAAACAAACACTGCCTGGATTCTGTAGGTATCATTACCTTGCTAGGGCACCTCCCTGTTTAGCCAACCACAAGAACCTTGTGTAGTCCCTGTTTGTGGCTGCAACCCAATACATAGGTAAGGCTTTGCTAATGTCTGCTGCATAGGCGTTATGTTCTGTCCTGAATCTCAACAATACATCTGCCTAATTTCGCAGCAGGGAGGACCCTGTGAGCAGACAGCGTTCACTCGATGGCTCTAGGGGACTGGGACTCGCCTGGTAGCTGCAGTTGAATGACTACTCTGATGGGAGTGGTTAGCTGAACTCCTGGTGGACTGCCTGTGTAGAAGATAATGGGTGTTTTTCCCAGGGCTGACATTGGCACTTTCTCAATGAACCCAAGGGCCAGCTGTTCCTTAATAATATACATCATATTTCTCCCCACCAGACCCTTCTTGTCAGGCTGTTTCACTATGAATTCAACTGACCCGTGCCTTCTTGAATTTAGTGGGCAGCATTGGGTGTCCCGGTTTTCCATGGGAGTTAGTCGGCACCCAGTACTGCTCCGTCCCTGAACTGC